GAACTACGCCGCCTTCGTTCTGACCTCGGTGTAGTACATAAAATTATCTATTGCAATGACTACTTCAGGGAGGAAGGAAGGTCATGGAAGAGGGAGGGAGGGAGGCATCCCTCCAAACCCATGATTTTCTGTAGCAACCAAACCATCCCCAAAGCAAACCATGTTATTCCTGAGTTCAAATCAGTCCGTTGGCATCAGGTCTGCAATCAATTTCCAACCCAGTGAAAAGAAAGCTCATTTTCCTTCAAAGCTATACTTTAGGAAGCGAAGGGTAAATCAGGCACCCAGGACAGTTAAAGAAAAACCTTGATTTTTGTCCAATTTTTTAAAAAAATCCATTCTCCATTCTAAACATTTTTATTTGGGCTTCGGTCGAGCCCATTTTGGGGAGGACCAAAAAAACACACACAAAGCCCTGCAAATAAATTTCCAAATAAAATTCAACCATTGCAGGGAGGGCTTTTTTCCCAAGTACCAGATCTGCCAAAGAAGTGCAAGTAATATGCAGAGAAACCAGAAATCGAGAATGGAACAGAGTATGAAAGGCTGGTGTTTTTATTTTTTTAAATTCAAAAAGGAGGTTGAGTATTTTACAAGCTGCTGGCACTTTCACCCTCCACGGATGCTTCCGCAGCATCTCAGCTCCAAAACCTTTTCTCAGACACCAGGCACCCAGGAAGCAAATCATTACAGGTAGTCCTGGAGTTACGATGCTTTGTTTAGTGGCCGTTTACAGTTACCCATGGCACTGGAAAAAGTAAGGCCATTTTTCACACTTCTGTCCATTGCAACAGCTCCATGGTCCCCTGACCAGAATTCAGATGCTCCGCAACCGACTCGTATTTATGACGGTTGCAGAGTCCCCGGGGTTACGTCATCCCCTTTGGTGGCCTTCTGACAAGGTTGACAAGGAAGCCAGATTCACTTGACGAACTTACAAACTGCAGTGATTCACTTAACAAATGTGGCAAGGAAGGTCATAAAATGGGACAAAATTAACTTTATATGCGTTTCTCGCTTAAGCAACAGATATTTTCAGGCTCAACTGTGGTCATAAGTCAAGGACTTGCTATATGACATTAACTTCTACTTTAAAATAGATACACTCCCTTCCCAGGCCATGTTTCCATAAGGACTGCTCATAAAACAGCCCATTTCCAAGTTTGCAAAGCTTTTCACGCACACAATACATTTAAATCAACTTTCCAACAGGCCCATAAATGACCCATAAACTGCACACAAAAAAAACCCCACAACCCCCCATCCCTTGGACAAGGCCTGCAAGAAGAAATGACGCAACACACACACACACATACCCCCAGGGCCCCTGGTCCCCCTCACCCACCACCCTCCACCTGGCATGGGAGCTCCTGCAAACCCCACTCAGCCC